TCCCCTTTTTGTGCTTGCTGTCTCCCTCTCTCTCCCTGTGAATAAATAAAATCTTAAAAATAAAATAAAATATATTTTAAAATGGCTAAGAATTCCTAGCCTAGACCATCCCAGCTGCCTCTACTATAACTTCAATTACCATTTCTACACTAATGACTCTAGGTTTTTCTCCAGCCAGACTTGTGAATTCCAGACCCACATATTTTTTTTAAAGATTTTATTTATTTATTCATAGAGACACACACATAGAGAGAGAGAGAGAGGCAGAGACACAGGCAGAGGGAGAAGCAGGCTCCATGCAGGAAGCCCGATGTGGGACTTGATCCCAGGTCTCCAGGATCACACCCCCGGCTGCAGGCGGCACTAAACCGCTGCACCACCGGGGCTGCCAGACCCACAGATTTACACACACACTCCCCACTTGAGAATCTCACATGACCCTTTAAAGGGACCTCTAACTCAACATCTACAAAACTATGCATATCTTTCTCCCCAGTCTGATCCTTACCTGATAAAAATGTTCTGGGAAAATGACACTGGGAAAAAGGCATATCTGAGTTCTTAATCTCTCCCACCTCCAGGCCTAATCTTCACCAAGTTCTGTTCATTTTATCTTTTGTTTGTTTTTTTAAACTTTATTATTTTTTAAAGTTAACATCTTTTTTAGTAACCTCTACACCCAACCTGGTACTTGAACTCACATTCCCAAGATCGAGTCACATGCTCTTCTGACTGAGCCAGCCAGGCGCCTCTGTCCACTTTATCTTCCAAACTTTGCTCATGTCAGTCTGCTTCTCTCCATAGCTTGGAGATCATTGGTGACTTTACCTGTTTTAGTGGAATGGGAGGGGCAGAAATTAGACTGATGTGGGTTAATGCTTGGTGAGTAGGAAGCATGTAAAGGAGACAGCAAATATAGACAACTCCTTTGAAAACTGTAGGCAAAAAGAAAAAGAAAAAAAGAAAAAAGAAAGAAAACTGTAGGCAAAGAATCCGGGAAGATTCTCGAAGGTGATATCCTTCTTTCTTTTCACTCCCATCCCCATCTTTTTAGCCCTGCCATGCCCCTGGGTCAGAGAACTGTTGGTACCAGGAAACAGAGCCTGAGACCGACTTCGGAGCTTTCACAGGATGAACTAGTGTAGAAACACCCGCAGGTGGGGATATGAAAGAACTGTGTGTGCCAGGAAGTGGGAGGTTCCTTGTAATTGTATAAAACTAATACTACAAGGTATGCATCTGGACAGATCTAATAACCTCTACTGATCTTCATCCACCCCAGCTCTCCTCCAACCAGTTCTCAATACAGCAGCTAGGAATCTTTTCAAATGTAAATCTAACCACACTTCAGCTCTTTTGTTCCTACCTCTTTTTTTTTTTTTTTTTTTTTTTAAGATTTCATTTATTTATTCATGAGAGACACAGAGAAAGAGAGAAAGGTAGAGACACAGGTAGAGGGAGAAGCCGGCTCCATGCAAGGAGCCAGACTTGGGACTCAATCCCCTCAATCCTTCAGGATCATACCCTGGCGGAGCTAAAACACTGAGCCACCCAGGGATCCCCTTGTTCCCACCTTAACCCCCGAAGTGGCTTCTCACTATCCTTAAGAAAGAGTGGCTCAGTTGGTTCAGCATTGACTCTTGATTTTAGCTCAGGTCATGATCTCAGGGTCTTGAGATCAAGCTCTGTATTGGGCTCTGTGCTGGGTGTGGAGCCTATTTCGGATTCTCCCTCTGTCCTGCCCCCGAGCTCCTGGGTATGTGCTCTCTCTCTAAAAAAAAAAAAAAAAAAAAAAAAAAAAAGAAAAAAAAGAAAGATAAAGGTAAAAAAGTTCTTGGCAGCCAACAGGGGACTAAGTCATCAGGCTCTTACCTTTCTCATCAGTTTTTTCTCTCCTGACTCTGCATTTGTGCTTTGTACCACAGCCACTTGAGACTTCCTTTGATTCTTCAAACACATTGTGGTCTTTTTTTTTTTTTTTTTTTTTTAAATAACAAATACTGGATGCTGTCCCTTCAGATTGAGATGTTCCCAACCTGTCTTTGCTCAGTTAACACCGAACTCAAATGTCACTTCTTCAGGAGGTCTTCACTGCTCTCCAAGATCAGTTAAGATGTCTGTTGTACTCTCTCATCATTTTCTGCCCTTTTCCATACAGTCCTTGTCACAGTTTGTGATTATATATTTGTTGTTGTGATGATTTGATTAATGTCTGCCATCTCTAACACACTGGGAGCTCTAGGGGGACGGGGACCATGTCTCTCTTCATACCATAGTAGCTTCAACCATGATAGCAGAGTGCCTGGTAGTGAGTAATGTGTGTATATGCATGTGCGTGTGTATGACTGGTCAACTGTCAGGATATGCAAAGCAATGCACACCTGTACTGTGGTAATCCCATAAGGAGACACCACACAGGGTGGTGTGCAGCCTATCTGCTTCCCTCAAGGATATCTCGCTGGTTGGACCACTGTCAACTGCAACTTATAATATAGGATATATCACCTACTTGTTTGGTTTCTGAATCATTTGAATCCACCCTCATTCAGCAATGTGGACTATCAACTTTCAGGGACGGAAAGAACAACCTCAAAATAATTACCATTTATTCATTCGACCAATATTTATCCTATGCCTACCCCCACTGTAGTCAAGCATTGTGCTGGGATGGGGAAACACAGATGAATGAAGACTGGTTATTATTCTCAAGGAACTTATAGTTTTGATGCACAGTCAAATATGTAAACAAATTATAACTTCCTGTTTTAAAACACTATTACAAGGCACACTCAAAGTTTTAAAGGGTCATAGAGAAGAGACTGATTATCAAAGCACTTAGCAAAACCCTAGCTAGAAAAAAATGCTGTTAATGATGACCCAGGGGACACACTTTTCAAACATTCTAAGCTCTAACTTTGGACCACTTTAGACCACAGAAACAATTTACACATTAGACAAGCCCCTTAAAAAACAGTCATCACTAGGTTGCTTTTATGTTCTTGGCTTTTATTGGGCATAACAAGACTTATCTATATGGATTTTGCTTTTGCATTTGTTGTTCAAATCTTCTTCATTGCTTTGTTACATCCTTCACTGGTTCCTTTTTTTTTTTTTAAGATTTTATTTATTTATTCATGAGAGACAGAGAGAGAGAGAGAAAGAGAGAGAGAGAGAGAGGCAGAGGCATAGGCAGAGGCAGAAGCAGCCTCCATGAACGGAGCCTGATGTGAGGACTCCATCCCAGGACTCCAGGATCACACCCTGAGCGAAAGGCAGGCACTGAACCGCTGAGCCACCCAGGTGTCCCCATTCACTGGTTCCTAATAAAGTCATGTGAGCAACTACCTTTAGAATTAGAATTTTTAGCTATGAAAAAAAAAAAGTATGGTCTGTCTCCTCTGTTGCAGTAATTCCTTTTAGATGTCACATACGATGTTTTCATTTTTACCCTGGCAGCCAGGAAGCTCAGAACTGTTTCAGATTCAGTCACAAGCATATTTAACTTTAGGGTAATTGTGATCTCTTCTTTAGTTTGGCTCTAATATTCTATTTCTAGTTTTCTAGCCCATCATAAACCTTCCTTATGTCCTTGTGAAAAAGAAACGGAACGAAATAAACTCGACGTCTGGTATGTTCAGTCATCTTTGAGTTGTTTCTGCTATTTGTCAAAGATAAATACAAAAAAAAAAAAAAAACAAAAAACAAAACTTGACCTGTGTTTGGATCATTAGAAGAGCTGGAGAAACTGGGGGAGATCCAGACAAGGGCAATAGAAAAAGGATAAAGAATGGGACTGAGGTAGTATGATCACATTTTTCAACTCAACTATTGGGGTACTTTGGCCTGGCATATGGCGTATTAGAACAAAGTATCCGAAACTTGAACTGTACTGGGAAATCCCAGAGCTACGTCGAAGCCAACAGATCCCAGGAGAAATGGCCATTATTCAACGTATATGAGGAGTTGTAGAAAGGTTTTAACCTTCTTTGGAACCCAGATTCCTTGGTGATCATTTGAAAGCGTTTGACCTGCTTCCCAGGAATCCACAGAGTGGACCCCTCCTGTTATCTATGCCTCTTCCCAGAATTTATCAAAAAGCATTTCTCCTTCCTTCCTTCCTTCCTTCCTTCCTTCCTTCCTTCCTTCCTTCCTTCCTTCCTTCCTTCCTTCCTTCCTTCCTTCCTTTTTTTTTCAAAAAGCATTTCACAGCTGTCACGGCTGCGAAGAAATCTCATAGACCCGAGGATGCACTGAGCTGCCAGGTCGGATGCGGAGACTGGCAAATCGGTTGCCAGCTTAAGTTCTTAACACTCTGACACCATTCCAGGATGATTGAAGCCGGGTGTGTGTGTGTGTGTGTGTGTGTAACTATTTTGAGGAGCAGACCCCTTTGATGAGCTGCCGGAGATCTGGACCATCCGTCCCCAGATGCACCCTCACAATTCTGCACGCAGTTCCACGCGCTTGGGGGACCCCCCCCTTAAAGTCCATCCTCAGATCTCAGGTTCTGCTTAAGCGCGACTCGGGAAGGCCCTGGAAGACCTTCAGGAACGCCCCTCTCTTCCACCTCGGGGACGAGAGCGGCCTAGATAGAAGGAGCCTTAACGGACCCCAAGCCACGACCCCCGCGCCCGCGCCCGCGCCCTCGCCAGCCGGGCCTCTCGGGGCGCCCCCTCCCCCACGCCCCTGCCGCGCAGGTGCAAGGCACGCGGGGGCCACCCCGGCGCGGCGGCACGAGGAGCAGGGGGCACGCGGGGCGGCGGGGGTGGGGGAGGATGGGACCCCGGGAGGGGCGGAGGCGGGGGTGGGGGCCTTCCCGCGGTTGCTTGGCGACCGAGCTCTCCGCCCAGACCGTTCCAATTCCTCAGCGGGGGTGGGGGAGGCACCGCGGGCCGGAGCGCGGCTGCCGGGCTGCCCAGCGCAGGCCTCTTCCGGCTTCTCCCCCTCCGCCGGGCGGTGGTCGGGTCCCGTGACGTCACAGGGGGCGGGGCCAGCGCGGCTGCCGGGTGCTGGCGGCGCCATTGGAGCCGGCTTGGCTCGCGAGCCCTGCTGAGGAGCCGGAGGTTGGGCCGCGGCTGCCTCCGCGTCTGCTCCCGGTCCCCGGCCCGGCGGCGGCATGGCGTGCGGGGCGACGTTGAAGCGGCCCATGGAGTTCGAGGCGGCGCTGCTGAGCCCCGGTTCCCCGAAGCGGCGGCGCTGCGCCCCCCTGCCCGGCCCCACACCGGGCCTCAGGCCCCCGGACGCCGAGCCGCCGCCGCTGCTCCAGACGCAGCCCCCGCCGCCGGCTCTGCCGCAGCCCGCCCCGCCCGGCAGCGAGCGGCGCCTTCCGACCCCGGGTAACCTGCGCTGCGGGCTTGGCAGGAAGCCAGGCACGGGCATGGGGGTGGGGGTGGGGTGGGTGGGGGTGGGGCGGCTCTGGGCGCCGGGCTCCTTCACCCACCGACCCCTTCTCTAGCGCCGAGAAACGGGAACTGGGGTGCGCCGGGCCTGGTCGCTTCCGGGAATGGGAGACATCCGGGGGCGTGGGGGGGCGGCCCAGTGTCGGTTTTCCGTCTTCCCGGAGCTGTGGAGACCCGCGGGGCGGGCAGCGAGGGCGAGCTGGGAGCACCCCTGGGCGCTCGGGGCCCCTGCTGCCTCCGCGGCCGGGGCCTGCACGGGGCCGCCCGGCAGACCCAGTGGGCCGTGCAAAATGGGATTCTACTCACGAACCCGGCCTGCAGGGTGGGGGCTGGCGGCGGCGGCGTCCTGGGAAGGGGCCTGAGCGCGCGCCCATCGCCGATCGCCGTTCGGCGGCGCGGCCGCGAGACCCGATTTCCCCGAGTCTCCAGGGACCGCAGGCGTCGCAGAAGTCCCCTCTCAATCTACTTCCAAGGGGCTGGCTGGCGTTCTCTTTTTTTATTGTATGGCTATTGTCTTGGCACCATATATGGCTCGGAACGGGCAGGTCGTTAGCCAGAATGTATTTGAGAATCCTTCCAACAGACGCACACATTCCGGAAGCAGGAATTCAGCTCTCGGTCGCAGGGACGCTTTCAAGAAGGCTCACACACGTTGGTCGAGGAAAGGGGAGAGCTAGTGTGACTGCAAAGTTAAGGCGGAACTCCCCCCACCACCACCACCACCATTGTGCAGGAACGGAGGGGGAAAGTGCCGCAGTGTTCATAGGTGGCGGGTTTTAAAGGGCTTCTGGAAATGGGGGAGGGTCCTCAAAAAGGGACCTCTGCCAAGTTGTTACATTTCTTTGTGTTTTTCTATTGCTTCAGCCTGAGGATTGCCTCGAAATCGTTCTTTCCTCAACCATTTTCCAGTTACCTGTGTCTTTGGGGTTTATTCTCCTTTTTTCCTCTGCATATCCATAATGCAGGTTTCTGGCCCTCCTCCTCTCCCAGGGAGATTCCTGCAGTTGCCAGCCAAGCTCCCCCAGACACTGAATCTTTGTCATGTTCACTTCTTCTTTTATCCTGGCCTTCAAAGGATTTATCGGCTATGACCATATGTCTTACTTTAGTCTTTTGCACATTTTTTCCCCCCAGCTATGCTTTTGCTGCTCTTTTTTTCTCCAGATCCACCTGGGTGTGCTTGTTATCCTTGCCTTCTTCCATCATGATGTTTTCCCCTTGTATTTGCTAATCCAAATACAGTCATTTCTAAGCAAGTCTCCCATCCATTACCTGACTTAACCCTTCCTCACAAGGAACTCTGTTCTACTTTAAATTCCCCGACCACCACTTGATGTGCAAAGCCTTATGTACTGAATGAGATAATGTTTGCAGAGTTTTGTTTTTGTTTTTGTTTTTTTTTTTTTTTTGTAAAGAGCCCTTGAAAAGCAGGGGTCAGGGGCACTGAGGTGGCCCAGTCGGTTAAGCATCCAGGTCTTGATCCCATGGTCCTGGGTTCAAGCCCCACGTTGGGCTCCACACTAAGCACAGAGCCTACCTAGAAAAAAGAAAAGAGAAGCAGGGAACAAAAATACCCACTTGAAACGATAATTTTTCTTCTGTTCCTACAGATTCCAAGGATAGTCATAATAATCTTTCTGGATCTCTTCTGCAAAATAGAGTTAATACTTGTCCTATCTATCTTGATGGACTTTATGCATATGTTTTGTTTGTTTAGGACTACCCTGTAGACTAATTCTGTTGTAGTTCACATTACAGCAAATGTGTAATAAATGATGGCTGAATGTATTTGGAACCCTCAGTATTGTGGAGTGCAGAAATGGGAATTGCTGTTTTTTTAATCTTAATCTTAAATTTTATTTTTTGCATAGATCATGCAAACTACTTTCTTGGTTGACAGCTACATTTTAAGCAGAGGAAAACTGCTTGAGCAAAGGCCCAAAAACCCACAAAATTAACGAAGGATAAAGTAATATAACTGGGCTGTAGTGGGAGGTAGAACTGGAAACAATTTAGGGCCAAAACTTGGAAGGCATGGAATGCCATGTTGAAGAGCTTGGATTTTGGTGTGTAACAGCTAGGGACCATTGTAGAATTTTGAGGATAGGCTTAGTCTGATATAACCCAGAAGTACAATCCCAAGTAATCATCTGCTGTTAAAAAGAAATTTGCGCTGCTGCTGCTTCTTTTTTTTTTTTTTTTTTTTTTTTGGTAAGTGGCCTTCTTGGAGAGAGAAATCAAATCTACTTCCTTATTTTTCTCCTGAGCATGCCATATTTAGATTCTTGGGCTTGCTGGTCCTTTAACTAGCCTTAAAGTTCTATCTTTCCATTTGTTCACTTCACCATACAGGAGGCAGTTAGAGGTTTATCAAAGACCTTCTGTTCTCATGAGCATTGTCCTCATACTTGTCCTTTCTTGTTTCAAGTCTTTGCAGTTCCTGACATCCTTGTATTGAATCTGGCAAGTTGATGCTTGGAGAATACTACATTTTAAAGATGAAGCACAGACTTCATAAATTCGGGGATCTTAAAATATGAACTTCCTAGCATTTTTAAGGAAAGGCTTTGCTAATCCTACATTGTTGGTGTGTTTAGGCTGAGTATTAGATTTAGTTATGTGTGGAGATACTTTTGAGTTTGTGTCGATTCCTGGGCTGTATGTACTGTCCCTTGTTTTCAAAACTTAACATTTTTAGGGGATCCCTGGGTGGCTCAGTGGTTTAGCACCTGCCTTTGGCCCAGGGTGCGATCTTGGAGTCCCGGGATCGAGTCCCACGTCAGGCTTCCGGGATGGAGCCTGCTTCTCCCTCCGCCTGTGTCTCTGCCTCTCTCTCTCTCTTTCCCTCTATCATAAACAAACAAACAAAAAACCTTAATATTTTTATTGAAGAAGTAGGCTAAAGATCCTGAATGACTTTCCAAGGTCATAGGAGGAAGCAAAATGGCATTATTTACAGTTAAAGCCATTAAAAAAAAAAAGATATTTATGCTATGGCAAAGTATACATTAAAATAATGTGAGTGGGGTGGCGATACGATTTTCTGGGTTTTGTTTTTGATAAAGGAGGCTTTATTATCTGGAAAGTGGATACATATTATACCACAAAAATGAAAACCTTGAAAACCACATCCTTTCAGACTCTGTGTTGTCTCTAGGAATGTACTTGAGAGTGAATTTGTGTGTCCTGGACTCCCTTCAATAGCGTTAGCAAATTTGGTTTATGATTACTTTGACTCAGAGAAGTAATCTGAGTCCTATCAAGTATAGCCTCTCGGCAGGATCAGAAAGTTCTTTTCTATGCCCTGATCATCAGTTCCAGGAAATAAATCTCCAGTCTCCCCATGGTCAGTGTCCAGGAGGTGACCATATCGTGATTTCTGCTGTCCTCTACCCTAAAGATCTTGAGTTCCAAATGGGACAAGACCATTATTTTTAGAAAGCCTCGGGTGGTCAGAAAATTACCTCAATATACTAGTTTGTGCAATTGTGCAGCTTAACATAGATCAAAAATAGCTTCCTATTAGGTGAAGGATGTGTTTTTTGTTTTTTGCTGTAAATTGTGCTAATGAAGACCAGATACGCAGTTTGCTTTAGGATTGTCACAGCAAAACAAGCAAGGGGAATTATCTGGAGGGTTTATGCTAAAATAGCTGCTCTTTCATGTATTGTTGAAATAGTAGTAAGGGCACACTGGGGTTTATAGGAGGAGTGCTTTACTCAGTGTAAGCATTTTTCTTGCTAATATTAATAACATGGGGGATGGGACAAGAAGTTTGACGACATGACACAAAGTGAATGCTCAAATGTGTTTCTTTTTTTATTAGAACAAATCTTTCAGAACATAAAACAAGAATATAGTCGTTATCAGAGGTGGAGACATTTAGAAGTTGTTCTTAATCAGAGTGAAGCTTGTACTTCAGAAAGTCAGCCTCATTCCTCAGCACTCACAGCACCTAGTTCTCCAGGTAAGCAAGCATTAGTGTGGACAGACCAACCATTTAAGAGTTTCTAAATGGTACACTTGTTGTGTAGAACCCTGGGTGTTGTGTGTAAGTGATGAGTCACTAAATTCTATGCTTGAAACTAATATTATACTGTACGTTACCTAACTGGAATTTAAATAAAAATTTGAAAAGGTTTCTGAATGGTTCTTAAAATGATGGTTTCCTAATCCAGAATGGATTTCATATAAAGTAATAAAATAGGTAAAATATACGCATTGTATTACTATTCATAAATACTTTTGGAACCATAGAGTCATGAAATTGGGAAAAACCTTAGGTTGCTTTGATTTGGCTTCCATGCACCCAGTATAGAAGTACCCTCTGTAACTAATATCTTAGCCATTAGATTAGCCACATGTGGCTATTTAATTAAAATTTAATAAAATTTAACATTTAGTTTCTTGGATGCAGTAGCCAAATTTCAAGTGTTGGTAGCCACATGTAGTTCTTGTATTAGCACAGCTATGGGACAGTTCCATCATTGCACACATTTGTGACAGCAGTGCTGTGTAACATTGACAGGTGGTCAGAGAGGATGTGCTCAAAAATAGAATCTCAGGGTTGGAGAGAATCTTCATGGTCACATAGTTCAGCCACCAGTCTTGCCTGCCATATCCCTGCAAATAGTCAAGAGGCCAGTGCACAAACATCTCCATTTGTGGAGAACTCTGTCCTTTATCAGTAAAGAACTTTATTTCCTCACAAAATATTCTACTTTTTAATAGTTCTGAGAGTTAAAAATTATCTTGATTAAAAATTATTGCCTTACAGAACACAGATTGTGTTGGCCAGGAGCTAGGGAGAGAAGAGAATGGGGGAAAACTGCTAAATAGTAAGGGGTGTTACTTTGGAGTGGTGGAAGTATTTTGAAATTAGATAAATGTGGTGGTACGAAATTGTGAGTATACTAAATTATACTGAATTGTTCACTTTAAAATGATTCATTTTATATGAATTTCACCTCAAATAATTAAAAAATTTTTTGACTCAAAGGTCTTGGCTCTAGGAATAGCACCCTTTATTTTATTTTTTTTTATTAATTTATGATAGTCATAGAGAGAGAGAGAGAGAGAGGCAGAGACACAGGCAGAGGGAGAAGCAGACTCCATGCACCGAGAGCCGGACATGGGATTCGATCCCGGGTCTCCAGGATCACGCCCTGGGCCAAAGGCAGGCGCCAAACCGCTGCGCCACCCAGGGATCCCCGGAATTGCACCCTTTAATTGTTCTTGTGTGTTCATCAGTGATAGACCTTTTAGTGGTAATAGTTAACGAGTCTCTCCTTAATATTCTTTTTTTTTTCTCCTTAATATTCTTTTGAGATTTTAGTATTAGAATTTTGAAGTAATAGAATATGATACGGGTACAAAGAAATAATACAATGATGACTGGGTAGGGATTCCTGGGTGGCGCAGCGGTTTTGCGCCTGCCTTTGGCCCAGGGCGTGATCCTGGAGACCCAGGATCGAATCCCACGTCGGGCTCCCAGTGCATGGAGCCTGCTTCTCCCTCTGCCTGTGTCTCTGCCTCTCTCTCTCTCTCTGTGTGACTATCATAAATTAAAAAAAAAAATGATGATTGGGTAGAACTTTTGGTCAAGTTCATTTTTAAAGAAATTTTGTTTTGGGACGCCTGGGTGGCTCAGTGGTTGAGCATCAGCCTTTGGCTCAGGGCGTGATCCCAGAACCTGGGATGAGTCCCACATCCGGCTCCCCGCAGGGACCCTGCTTCTCCCTCTACCTCTCTCTCTGTGTCTCTCATGAATAACTAAAACTCTTTAAAGAAAAAAAGAAGAAGAAAAGATGGCCAGGCCCTAACCTAGAATTAAATCAGAATGTGTATCATGTTTTTTGAATTCTACAGATAATTATGATGCACCTCAGTTAAACATAGGTTTATATAATCACCAAGGATTTGGGTAATTCTCTAAATCTACTTTCTCTAATCCCGAATAGAGGTTTTATTTACTTTTTGTTCTTGTTCTTTACCAAATGACTATTGAGTATGGGCTCACATTGTTATGGCATCAGAACTGTTTTTCTGTATGCAGTTCAGCTAGCACACCTGGATACACATTGTTTCTACTTCTCAGTTTACCTTTTGGCCTGACTTTGTAAAATTAATGGCAGAAGTTCAGAGAATTTTGTGAAATATTCCTTGTAGAGTTGTGAAAAATGCTGTTTTTCTGAGCAGTTTTTGTATCCTAGGACTGTTTGCATAAAGTTATTAACTCTGAACCTTAGAACTATAATGTATTATTTAATCTGAATTTGTCTTGGGGTGTGTGGTTGGCTCAGTAGGTAGAAACATGTGATTCTTAATCTCGGGGTTGTGAGTTTGAGTCCCACATTGGGTGTAGAGATTACTTAAAATCTTTAAAAAACAAACAAACAAACAATTAGATTTGTCTTTTGGCCAGGTTCCTCCTGGATGAAGAAGGACCAGCCCACCTTTACCCTCCGACAAGTTGGAATAATATGTGAGCGTCTCTTAAAAGACTATGAAGATAAAATTCGGGAGGAGTATGAGCAAATCCTCAATACCAAACTAGCAGGTAGGCTGAGGCAAAATGGCTGTGCCATTGATAATAGGGTTTGGTAGATAATAAGGTTCAGTCAGATGGTGACTTAGAAAAAGAGGAGGACTTCGTGCAAGAAGGTTTAATGAGTTGTGAATAGTAAGTTACTCTCTGGTGATTCTAAACATTTTATTTATAGGTTATATGGAAGGACTTTTCATTTACATTTCTGAAACCAGATAAACCAAGCTTTTCTTCTGAGACTTTTCCATATGAATGAAGGCAGTGAGCAGTTAATTTGGGCTAACGAGTATATTCAACATGATCAGGCTTCCTGATGGTAGTCACTTTTTGGATGTACAAAGTCCAGCATTCTGTGATTTGGAGATCATTAGTTTGGAAAGCATAGCTCAGGTTGGAACAAAGGGAGTTGACACAAGTAGAGCCTTTTGTGAAAGGAAGAGACCTGGACAGGGATAGAAAGTAGTACCCATTTAGTGAAAGTAGACAATGTTGTGATCAGAGAGAGGGGTTTTAGGCAACAACTTCCTGCAACAGTATTATTTTCTAATCTGGTGATCCATACCACATGATTCCTCAAATTGATAGAAAGTCTGTTCTAAATTGAGAACTATGGGCAGCCCTGGTGGTGCAGCGGTTTAGCGCTGCCTGCAGCCCGGGGCGTGATCCTGGAGACCCTGGATCGAGTCCCACATCAGGCTCTCTGCGTGGAGCCTGCTTCTCCCTCTGCCTGTGTCTCTGCCCCTCTCTCTCTCTCTCTGTGTCTCTCTCATGAATAAATAAAATCTGAAAAAAAAAAATAAATTGAGAACTATTGGTTTAACAACAGTTAAATGGGTTTCTTTATAGTCAAACTTCTTTGATTCTTTAATATACTAATAGTGTGTATTAAAACAAGAAGCTCCAGTATACCATTTCCTCTATCCTGGCTCCACCCCAAAGTTGTTCTCTTGGTTCCAAGTCACTTCTCTGTTCATGGATGTCAGACTACCTTATATCTTTTGTACTGAGTTTCCCTTTAGAAGTTAGTTCTGTGGAACTGTTTATAATTAGGGAATATGAAATTTTCTCCACTTTCTAGCCATCCCACTTCTTTTACTCTGTGTGTCTGTTGAGATTTATAGCAAGGATAGCAATGCAGAAAAGATCTTCAAGCTCCTATAGAGTTCCTAAAATTTGTTGGCTTGCAGTACTGAGCAAGTCAACCCTTAGTAGGGGATGAAATAACAGCAGGGCGAGATTAGGAGAATATAATATTATAGATGATCAGTGACCAATTTGGGAGCCAGGGATTTGGCTCTGGGATCTAAGAGGAAGTAACAGATCTCAGAGCGGCTGTTATAAGGAGGGTCTGAGAGTGGATCATTTAAACTGGAAAACTAGATGTGATCCTGACACTTGATTCTTGAAAGACCAGGGGAGAATTCTGGGGATAGTATATACTGTCTTTCCCCTTACAGAACAATATGAATCTTTTGTGAAATTCACACATGATCAGATTATGCGACGATATGGGACAAGGCCAACAAGCTGTAAGTATTGCCAAGTTTTTCTTTGAATTTTCCAACTTCCAAGAGCAAGATGTTGACACTGAATACTTTGTCTCCTGAGAGCAAAAAACCCCTGTGAAGTAATGTTAGTAATAGCTAACATTAAAAAAAAAAAAAAAAAAGCATGCCCAGCATCGTGCTAAGCCTTTTAAATCCTCATGAAATTTATTTAATCTATAATAACCCTATGAGGGAGGAAGTATCGTTGGATCCATTTTACAGGTAAGGATAGTGCTTAAGGAGGTTAAATAATTTGTCCAGCTCATAAAGCTAGTGGTTCAGCCAGGACTGAAACCTAAATAGTTTGACTGCAGTACCAGTTTGTTACATGGCTTTTCCTCCAGGAAAGTAGTTTCAATTATTTACGAAAGTTAATTCCTTAGGGTAGGTTATCAAGTGTGTGGTCAGATTTCTTAATTCTAGACATCTTGGAACTACCAGTTACTTAAAGCATAAAATAATAAATAGCTGTTTATCTAAACTGAAGCGGAGTCAAGTTTCTTAAATTCTGAGAAACCTAAGACATTTTAAGTGTTGACTTACATTCTCCACATTTATCACATTTCCCATTGGTTAATATTTTTAAAAAGCATGGCACTGTATTTTTAGTGAACTCTTATTTTTTTTTTCTTAATTTATAGACGTGTCCTGAAGCTTTCTTGCATATCTGGGTACCAGGTTTGACCTCAAGAGATGGCTGCTGTACACTTTTTGCAACTGGTTTGATATCACATTTCAGCTCCAACTTTGCATCCTGAGAACACTTAAACGTTTCTGCAGGTCCATTTTATACAACTTGAAAGACCTTAAAACTTTCTGGTTGCCACAAGCATATCTTTCTTTTCTGCTCATCCAATAAACAGCTGTGCCCTACTGTGATAGATTTTCCAAACAAAAATACCTGGAGCAGCAGTTTAGTAAAATATGCCCTCAGTGGCACTCAACAAATGGAGTTTCCCCAAGCACAGTTCTGTAAGAAGTGTGTGTGAGAGTGTGTGTATATGTGTGTGTGTGTATTTTAAGTTATTATTTGTATTGTGCAAATTTTTTTGATCTTGGGGATTCTGGCTGTGAATTTGATGCACGACAATTATGGTTAAAAACATTCGCTTGGTCTACAGAAGATCATTAATGTTTTGTGACCATATAAGTTGTAACGGTGGATTGTTTTATGTGTAGGTATTATTGTTAAATACAGGGACTGTTTCCAGGCACAGAATATGAATCATAAGTTAGGATGGACATTAGATGTGATTATGATGACATAGCAAAGGTCTGTGGTCCTAGGTCTACAAATGCGTGGTGAGGAATTAGGACAAACTGGAGACGGGCCGTTTGACACATGGACTGCCTAGCCGTGTTGAAAAATACTTTGACTCCAAGCCTTAAAATACCCACGTGGAGTCTGTGCTCACCTCATTCACACAGACAGCTCCCTGGACACTGAACCTCTAAAAAGAAAAAGTCTGCCCTGGAGCAGGAGCATCAGGGTTTGCTTGGGAGCACAACATAGGTGAGCAAGGGGCGGGGCCAGCCCCTGGTGGCACTGCTACTTGTGAGGAGCCACTTCGCCTTTGTATCGGTTATTAAAAACAGAATTTGGATCCTTTGGTCAGGCTCCCCCAAATTCTTTTTTAAAAAGTGACCATGTTCAACTGCTTGAGCTTTGTTTTGGCAACCCCCTGCCCAAAGTTGCTTACAGACTGTTCTTCACCTTGTTTCCAAGGCTGTGGAACAGAAAGTAGCCTCTGTTTTGAGGAGGTGGAAGTTTAAGTATACATTTATTTTTTACTGTGACTTGTTCAGGACCACATTTTACAAAATGCCTTGTTTCCTTTATTATTGTTTCTGGAAAGGAAAGTTCTATTAAAATTGTTTTAGTTTGAATATAGAATAGTTTTATTAATTAGGGCTTATTTTGAAAAATTCTGAGTTTAATTCAAATGTATGCCAGTACCTTCCAAAGTAAGGTAATATTCAGAGACAGTTCTGATCAGATGGCTTAGAGAAATTTTGGAATATTCATATTCGAAGATTCCTTATTAATGAATGTCTTTGACTTAAATCTAACCAAAAACTGCAACATTATTCTTTGTACATTTTCATTATATAGTGTTAACAAGCTTAGTTGCAAACAAATAAAATACTTAAGCTATTTGTTTACCTTGCCTTCTTAATACTGTGATAATGTTTATTTATTCAAATAATTTATGTGAGGCTGCTATAACCATTTCCTAGCAAAACATTACACTTAAGATTTATAGACTTTAAAAAGCCCATCAGTGATCTTTAAATAATTAAAGAATTATTTTACTTCATATTTGAAGGGCAGATTGTTTCATCTCTTCTTTTTCCAGGGTAGTTCCTTGTTCCTGGAAGGAGGAGCATAGCAGTGGCTGTCATGGGAGTGGCCTTAGAGTGAGATAGGCACACCAAAACAAGGGAAGGGCAGCTGTGGGGGCCATCATGAGTCCTGAAGGATGGATCAAGAATGGGCAATGCTGCTGTACTGACATCTTGTTACAGAATAGAATCCGTGTGATGTGGGGCAAGTGTCAGCCCCATTCCTACTAAATGGCTTCTGGCTGGGAGGTAGAGTAGGTTTCTATAAGGAAAATAATAAACACTCTCACTGCACCTGGTGGTGTTAGGCTATTACGATATGTATGGTTGCCCTTTGGGGCCATAAAGTAAGACACACTGCCGGTGGCTGGGTTTTGGAATCTCCTCAAAAGGGACTAGAGATGTTTGTTTAGTGTTTTATCTAGAGAAGAGACCGTTCTTAGGACAGAAAATAGGGACCTGTAATGTAGGCCTTAGACTAGCAAAAGGAGTTTTTCCCTGGACCTTGATTCCTAGAGCTTGAATTTAGGGGCGTTCCCGGGGTAGGGAAGTGTCTTTGTCCCATGGAGGTAGGTCAATGCCCAGGGAAGAAGTCAATCTACAGAGACCTATAAGGATAGGCCAGGACCTGGGGTCTTAGAATAGCCACATCTACTGACCTAGTTAAAGTTTTTTTGTTTCAATAATATTTGTTTGTTATCATCTTTTGGTAAAATCTTAAGGAGAATGAAAGGAGTGGGTGTTCAAGCTTAGGTCAGAAGTAGATGAAGTTCCTGAGGCAGATAATTGTTAAGAGCTCCCCAAGGAGAAGAACATCAGGGAATACAAGAATTTGAGCCAACCTCTCACACGTGGTGAATCTTCTCTGCCTGCCAGGGAGGTTGGGTTGGCTGCGTAGTAGTTCCTTTGGATGTGTGTAGCCCTAGAGTTTAGTTTGCTACGTGAGCCTTGCCAAGCTACTGAAACTTGTGAGCCATAGTTTTCTTGTCTGTAAAATGAGGGTTAATTGTATGTACATCACTGGGTTTTGTTTTCAAATGCGAGATTAAGTTCAATAGCCCATGTAAAGAAAGCACAGCCTGGGACACGAGATATGCATTTGACACTGTTACATAGTGGGGGTTTCTTTACAGTGGTCTTCATTAGATCTGAAAGCCAAACATTCTGCAGCAGCAATTCTCAACTTTCCAGTCTGAATAACCCTTTGTTAACATCAGAATCTCACATCCTCTAATTAGAATTTGTACTTTTCAAGTGTTTGACTAAGAAAACAATAAAAGATGAATGACCGATGAATTCAGTAATGCCTTTCAGTGAATCTGTATTTTGTTATTCACCCTAGCAGGGGTCAGCAAACTAAGGCCTGGTTTTGTAAATAAAGTTATATTCAAACACTGCCACACCTGTTTGCATCTGTGGCTGCTTTCACAGTCTGCAGCTCTAGAAACAGGTAGTATGGGCCACGGAATTGAAGATAACTCTGGCCCTTCGCACAAAAGTTTGTGAGCCCCTGGCACTGTAGCATTGATACACATTTGAAAAACTCACAGGCAAACTTGGTGCATCATGGATTGGTGGACAAGTACCTTTAATTTGTCATTTCTGGGGGAGTTACACCTCAGGTTGTGGCATGATTAAAAAAAAAAAAATCCTGTGCTTAGAAATGAAAACTGATTGTCAAAGTGAGTATCTTACAGAAAAAGCCAATGAAGTTTTCAAAGCAAGGATTCCCAAGGATGGGGACAGGAAACATGCTTGGGCAGGGGGAGGAGGGAGTGGTTAATATGAGTTTTATTTTTGGCATATTTAATTTTGAAATTTTAGATAAAAAAGTGGGTGTTAAGAATTTTATGTTATTAGATCGGATTTTTTTGTTTTGTTTTTTGTTTTTTGAAGATCGTTTGTTAAGTATTACTCTTTAAGGAACAGTGACTTCAGTGCTTGCTGCTGGGGTGATTATTTCCTTGAAAATGGCTTCAGAGGTGCTATAGTCCACAGCTACAGTTAAACTGGACCTTGAATAATTTTGATACCTTAAGGAAGAAGCAAGTTTACGGAAAAATCTCTACCTACTTACCCCAAATGATACCTTGAAACAGCACTTCATTATGAAGATTACCTAAATTTGCCTAAAATTTAAGCACCTGAAGTCTGGGTCTCTACTGATTGTTGCTTATAGTGTCTTGTCTCTTTATGTGCCAGGTTACTGTGAGCTGGATACTATATTTGAGCAATTGTAGGAATAAACAGGACAAGGATGAGGCATCTACCCTTAGAATTCTGGTTTCCTGTGCTGGAGATGCTACTACACCTTAGCTCAAATTGAAGGCTGGAGGTACTCTAGATCTAGATGGCACACAACCAGGTCCATGTGAAAACTGGTTTACTTGTGTTTCACTCTTATCTTGAAAGTGTAATACTTCGGAATCTCAGCTTAAAGAGTTTGTGATGGGGGTTTCCACCTTCAGCTGGCCTTTGATTTTTGTCCCGCTCAGTCTGTGAGACTTCTGGAAAATGCACTGCAGGCATCCAGGGACTTCCAGACTGGCAAATAAATGCCTTAACAATGCAGCTTTCAGTTTGAGGTTCTCTGGGTTCTCAAACTTTGGCTCAGTAATTCCTTATCCTTTTTATGCTTTTAAGAAAATTTTTCAACTGCTTTTTAGTTGACCTTAGTAATAGGCTGATCCACACTTCCTCATGCTCTATTTCTAGAAGTTCAAATCCTATGTGTTTTTGGTCTCATGAGAGCTTTGGTGAAGATGCTTAACCTGGCTTGGTACCCAACATGCCTTCATGTTAGTGGGAGACAAGTAGGGAAAGACGTTTATATTGGATTTGAGTATTTTCCCAATCATTCGGCAAATGTTACTGGTGTCTTCTGAGTTCTTTATTGTGTAGGGCAGGTATTTGAGTTTTTAAAGCCTGACAAGCTTGTTTTATTTTTTAAAGATTTATTATTTTAGAGAGAGCGGGGGTGGCGGGCAAAGGGAGACAAGCTCTAGCCGACTCCCCAAGCAGCATGGAGCACAACACAGGGCTGGATCTCATGACCCTGAGATCATGAACCAGGCTGGAATCAAGAGTCAGAGGCTTAACCAACTGAGCCACCCAAGCGTCCCTAGCCTGACAAATTTTGTAAGTAGCCCTAGTCTGTCTTACACCCTCAGTACCTGACTTGGAACTAACATACATAAATATACTTAGGCATTGGGATCTTGACCCCTGAGATGGGGGCTGAGTCTAGTGAGGAATACAAACAGGTGAGGTAAAAGTTGCTGAGTGGTTGTGTGAATGGTACAGATAATGGTCTAAGGAACAGATGGTACTTAGTGGTGTTCCAGGAAGTTTTCATTTGGGGAGGCAGAGTTGGAGCAAAGTTTCAAAAGGATGAATAAGGTTCAGGCAAAAGTAGGAATTGGCGAGACATCTGGGTGGCTCGGCGGGGTAAGTGCCTTCTGCTCAGGTCATGATCCCAGGGTTGTGGGATGGAGCCCTGAGTTGGGAACCCTGCTCAGCAGGGAGTCTGTATCTCCCTCCCTCAGCCCTTTCCCCTGCTCATGCTCGCTTTCTCTCAAAAATCTTTAAAAAAAAAAAAAAAAAAAAGGAATTGGGGCTTGAAATGAGCAAAGGCAGGGAGGTGGAAAGTCATGGTGGTGTGTAGGGAGGACATTCTTGTTTAGCCAGAGTAGGAAATCTTGTAGATCCTGGGAAAGAGCCTGAAGCTAGGTAGCAGAGGCTAGATAATGAAGGGTTTTGGCTACTAGGCATTTAGCTATTAATCTGTGGGAATCTGGAGAGTTTTGGGGAAACGAATTCAGGGGTAAATACAAGAGAAGGAAATACCACACCATAGAACAGATTGACCAGTTAAAGAGCCTCTCTTTTGTCTCATCAGAGATAACCAAGGCCTGTACGTTGGGAAGGATGATTAAACATGGCTCTGGCTTTGCCTGGCTAAGAAGATGCTTGAAGGATCTCTGGTCTCTTTTCCCTCTTCACACAGACACACTTTGAAAGATCCTTTTTGTTTTGGCTTGTCTTTGCTCTTCACTTAACTAATCTAGCCCAGTTCCGCTGCTGCTGCTGAGTTTTATTTGCATAGATTCTCTTTACCTGCTCTTAAAAGCACTGGTTAGTTCTTGAATGAATTACTGAGAGATTTTCCTCAAACTGTCCTCACCGCCAACTCTGTGTCATTTTTAATGGTGCTCTTGCTGTTCCTCTGCGTGGAATTAAAGCTCTTCTCACTTGACAACTGTCTGCTCAAGTGGCTCTTGTCCTCCCTTGCTCTCCCTGCTCCCTAACAGGTAAGAGTTACCTGTTCGTCTGATACATATTAATTGAGCACCTACTGTTTGCCAAGTACTGTTCTGAACACTAGCAGTGTATCACTGAGCTGGACAAAGTTCTTGCTCGTATACTTCCATTCTTATGAGGCAAGACAGGCAATCTAGCAAAACAAGTTAATCCAAGATTTAAAGGTGTTTAAAGAAAATAAAATGGTAATGAGAGTAACTAGATGCCTAAATTGGACTGTAAGGAAGATCTTTCTGAGGCATACTCTTACGCAGTTCCTTTTATATAACGCATTTATGTGTCTACATCACTCTTCCACTATACTGAGCAATTAGTAGCACCTTGAGCTATTCTCTATTTTTTTTTAAGATTAAAAAAAAAAAAACATAGGACGCCTACCTGGGTGGTTCAGTGGTTGAGTGTCTGTCTACCTTTGCCTCAGGGCGTGATCCCCGGGGGTCCTGGGATTGTGTCCCACATCAGGCTCCCCGCGGGGAGCTTGCCTACCCTCTGCCTATGTT